AAAAAAAATCCATTAGAACATTTAGGTAAAAATTTGGCCTGAGTTATACCCTAGAATTTAAACGAGTCTTAAGACACCTAAGTGTACATACATGCAGTGTGTGTGGGTGTGCATATACACACTTTTTTAAAAGCAGTTCCTTTCAAAACCCTGTTCTGGTGTCCCTCTGACGGCTCCCTGGTAAATACCTGTAAACCCCAATATTAACCAGGACGAAAGGCTGGCACAACCTCGGGTGGGAGTTGTTTGGGCTTCTGGGGTCTCTATAGAGAAGACTCACAAATTTCTGAATAAGGACTATTTTCTAAAGTAGTTCTGAGCACTTTTTATGGCTACTACTCAGTTTTCAAACAGAAACACACCAAAACTCCAGTTAATAATGAGAAGGACTTTGTCATTATTTCCAATATACAACATATTCCAACTCTGTACACAGCAGTAGTGGTATTTCTTCACCTCAGTGCACTGAATGACGACTTATTGCACATAACATAGCTAATGCCCAGTCCTCTCGGCTCCGGCCGCCGCACAGGAGCTGCCGTCCTCCACGCAGAGCACTATCTCTCCGTGAAGTCCAGTGCGGGAGGCGCCTGAGACGCCAGAGCAGTGAAAGGGTCAGCTGGCGGGGCGGGGCCCGCAGGGAACAGAGAGACAGGAGGAGGGGGCGGCCTCCGCGATGGCAGCACACAGGAGGGGACATCTGTACCTTTACTCCAGGCGTCATCAAAGGTCACGCTGCAGGCAGAAGCCGGGCCTGGCCAAGCACCCCGCAGGTCTAGACAAGCTGACTTCGACTTCCCTTTCTCACCAAAGTCGTCCTCTTCCTCAAAGGTCACCCATCCCTTCGGGTGGCTGATCGTCACTGTGGAATGGCTCTGCGGGTCAAAGCTGTCCTGGAAGCAGTCAGGGGAAGGTGAAGGTGAAGGCTGGCTACTGTTATGACCGGGAGGCTTCAGAGGAGGAAAGGGACTGCTGGCAACGGGCTCATCTTTGGGGAGCCACGAAGGTGCCCCGGGTTCTTGGGACTTGGCTCTAAATGGGTTTCCAGGAGCAGCAGTCCTGTCGGCGAAAGGGTTTGTGCCGGCCGGTCTCGCAGTAAACGGGTTGGGAGAACACTGCATGTCTTCCTGGGACTTATTCCGGGCTGGAGGTGGAGGCAATGTCAGCATGCAGCCTACAGAGCTCAGAGCACTGGCGTTAGTCTGTGTTGCAGGAGGCAATGGGACCAACCCCTTCGGGCCTGGGGTGAGAACAGGTGATGCGTGCACAGGTGACTGGGCCTTTGACACAGCAAGCAGACTAAGTGACAGATCTTCAAACGGGTCGCTCTTCATCGGTGATTCCAGTCTGATGGCTGGGACTCCATTGGTTTTTACCTGGAAAAGAAGAGCACTGAGTGATCAAAAAAATAACTTTAATATATTTACTCTTAATACTCCCTGCACTTGCTTTTTCTCAATTATTCTTGACTTGGGGCAAGTATACATGTTTAGGAAATAGAAAGCTTTGTAGCTTGTCACTCTGGTGGATTAAATAAGACAAGACAGCTAAAATCATCTTCTTAAAAAACTCCCCACTCAATACATCCATTTATTAGAGCTTTCTCGTCTGCGCAAGTAACTGATGTGGTGACACGGAGCTGCACAGGATCGGCACGTGAGCCCTGCTCCTGCCCAGGGTGTCAGCACACTGGGGAACCCACTTATGCTGAATCTAGGACATTCCAACACCCATCTGTGACAGCGGAGTGGCTTCATCACTCCTTTAGATGTACTTTCATTTAAAGCTAATGTCACTATGGGAACTCACCTTCCTGGCAGAAGGTTAATTTGCTAGTCCATTGGACTCATAAGCTGGAGACACTGCACCTTTTCCTATTCTACTTGGAAAACCCACGCGCCGAGCACTCTGCCGTTTCCTGTAACTCTCCTTTGTAGAAGCAGCTCTACGAATAACGTGACAATATTCCTTAAGTGACCTGCCTCATCTTGAAAAAATGTTCCAAAACATCTAGATGTGTTCACTAGTAATCAAAAGCAATGATTATTTTAAACCCATCGTTTTAAAAATCCCATTTCTACTTGGTCTATTAATTCTAAAACCACAATGCAGCTGTGCCAAGTAGTGCCCCATCCTAGCCACGTGCAGAGCCGTCTGTGACTGGTGTTGGGGGGTCAGTGTCGAGCTACTTCAATCACAGACAATGGGCGCCCAGGGCCTGTTCACAAGGAAGCCGGTGGAGGGGCGCTCGGCGACCTTCTCTCAGGGACACATTATGGTCCCGGCCACAGGAGCAGATGAGCTCACCAGGTACTTCATTTTTATTTTAAAACTAGATGGATGACTTGGATATCTTGGATATTAACGCCAAATTTAAAAATAAAAAAACAGACCTTTGGGTTGAAAAGAACAGGAGAGGGAGAATTTTAGCTCAAGACCTGGAATGTAACAAAATGGAGCACTATCCAAAAAGAACTTAGTCGTTAAAGCAAATAACTAAACGTTCATGAACCATGTTGAAAAAGAGCAGCGGTCCCCCTAATACATGCATGGGCCTTAGGAGCAGTAACCTGGTGCTTCAGGGGGAGAGCCGTGCACCCGCACAACAAGCGGGTGGGAACTCCGTAAGCGACTTTCAAGTATATGAGTGTTTTATTCAACTGTCCTTAACATACTTTACAATTGAATAATTAAGTATATTTTTCTTCAAACTTAATATGACAATAAATTTGTACAAGATTAAAGAGTAAACATCTCCCAGACTCTAAACTGTATTCTCAGTCTATTGAAGGGAAACAGACCTATGACTGGAAACCTGCTTCAGAGACAAGTCTGTCACAGGCACCACGGGGTGCAGCCGGCTCTCCAGTGCCGATGGCGTTTGGACTGTCGTGATTAACGCAACAAACGAAGTCCTGGACTGGGTCTGGCACCCAGTTCTCCAGCGGCAGAGGCAACAGTCCACAAAACAGGTTATAGGAAAGGAGAGTCTATGCTCAGCTTAGAAAAGTGGGACCTTGCTAAATAAACGCTACACATTTAAATATCTTTATTTTCATATATTACCAAAAATTTTTTTCAAAATAAGTTCAAGATAATTTGGTAGAAGCAGGATCATTTTGCCCTATCAAACCTGAAACTGTGACAGCCACCCCACCATTCATCATATTAGAATTTGTAACCTATGAATCTGATGAATTCACAGTAAAAACAGTGGTATTTTCACAGAGAAAGGTGTTGGAAGGACCTTTAAATAATCCTGTTATAATACTAACTTTCATCTTTCTGAATCATCGATTCTGCCATACTAAAAAGAATCTTGCAACTAAAATTTGAAATTTTCCAAAAGAAACCTAAGAAAGAAAATTATGCCAAGAATCAATTTAGTTTTGCCAAATACTTTCATATATGTAAAGGTCACCTTATTGAAGTTATAATTTTTAGTTTTGTTAATTTTCATAAAAAACAAAGCAAATTATGGTAAAGCATTAGCAAGAACAACTAAAATGGTTCCTAAAAATTCAAAATACTAAAGGGGGAAAAAGCGGGCTTTATGGTATGAGAACAGAAGTTATCGATGTGGACGGGTGGTTGTAAAAATGAGTGAAGCTGCAGATGTATGAGGGCGGGAGCCATACATCCACGGTGGAGACAGGTGAGAAGCACGCAGAAGACCGAGAAACAGTCCAATACCTGTTACCCTGACGGTTGCTCCTGCTTTGAGAGAGGGACAGACAGCAAAGGAAAGAGTTAGGATAATCCGAAACCAGCGGCGGCCCTGAAAACCCAGTCTTCAAAATACCTTCGGTTCCAGATTACACACTACCTGCGAGCAGTGACATTTACAGGTCATGGCATACGTTCCAGCAGCAACTCCAGTTTCTTTTGTAACTTTGTGTGAAAAATGTACTGCTGAGTTAGGGCTCAAACTAATTTTGTCTGATGGAACGGACGCTCACTTTCTGTCCTGGAACATGACTGAAAGCTCGAAGGCGGCCAGTTTAAAAGACTTTGCCCTCCGATTACAGTAGAAAATACAATAGTACACCTTACAAGAAAGTGAGGCAAAAAATCCATGACTCACAAAAAGTCTCAGAGAGAAAAGAACAGACAATTGCATTATCTTCAGGATCCTCCATTTTCTGAACTGAAAATGTAGAATATTTTAGGTATTAATTAGCTTAAGAGAACATACTGTTCTTCTTGATTATATATCCTTTAGCTTTTACAAATGTGGCCAACAGTCTGAGTAACTGCTAATTGCTAACAATATTCACACTGTTTTACTTTAACATTGTTTTCACTATGTAGAAGCATAAACTTCACCTCTGCCAAGTAGCTAGACATACTCCAATACCTATAAAAATAAATGCAAACTATACCTTATAAATGAGTTAAGGGTCACTGTGCTTTAGATCTGCCCAAAGTTTAAAAGCAGGCTTCTAAAACTCTGCACATTTCTTTGGCCTTGATGGTCCTTTTGAGTTAAAACTTTAGGATAAATTAAAATGTAAGGCTAGACAACAGAAAATACACTTACTAAATATAAATTTTATTTTAAATAATTTTACTGAAAAGGCTATAACAAGAACCAAGTAAAACAGCATCAAATAAAAACAGAACAATTTAACCTCCGTGACTATTCCTGTATTACAATAACTCCGGTACACACAGCAGATGGCTCTGCCAGGCGAGACCCCTGCAGCCTAACAGGCCCTGTGCGCTCACGATTTCCGGCCGCCGGGCCAACAGCCCCGTTCCGTGCAGCGCCGAGCGGCATTCTGATGGCTCTCACTTGGGGGCTAAGCCTGTGCCACACACCCAGGCACCTCGACTGCGCCGACGGGGCGGAACCTGGCTCAGCTCCCAAGGTACCCAGGGCCTCCGCCACAGAAGGGAACTGTGCCCGCATCAGGAGGAGTAAAAGGAGTCTTCTCTGTTTAAAGCCAGGCTAATTTATTAGCCATGAGCAAAGGCAATAAGGAAAATCAGTTATTGCCGCTCATCCTAAGTTGTTTACTATTCAGAGTAAATTGTGCCTGAAAAGAGTCACAAACACTTTAAAAGCAACAAGCCACTTGGAAGCTCCCTGAAGAACCTAATGTAGGTTCCCTGAGAAACCCTGATCTAAGCAACAGGTTCAAAGAAAAGATCCAAACCCTCAAGTTTGTTTGTTCCGTGACTGAGGTCAGACGACGCTCATCTGCTGAAGTCACACCTAAGATGCTATCACGACCAAGAGGGAAAAGCAAAGTACACCGGGGGTTCGTTTACTTCTTGTGCAAGCTACTGACCGAGAGGAGGGCGTCGAAGGCCGCGCCCCAGGACTCACCTGCTGCGCCGGCGGCTCTGCGGGCAGGCTGTGCGAGGACCTGCTGCGGGGCGGCGGCTGGGGCGGGGTCTCCAGGCTGGGCTGGGGGGCAGCCTGAGGCAGTGGGGCTGCTGTAGGGACCAGAGGCTCCTGCATCTTCTGACCAGAGGCGGGCAGGGCGGCCAGAGGCTTCAGTGGTTCAGGGAGAAGGACTGGACCTAAAAAGTCATCTTCTGGTGTTTCCTGAGAAACCATTCTTACCCCCTTTCGCACACTGGCAGAGGCTCTGGGTCTTTCAACTAGATTTCTAGGGTTGTGCCTACCTCTTGGGACTTCCGAGGCTCTGCTCTGGCTCTCGGGAGCCGGCCTCCCCCCAGATGCCCGGGCTTGGCTCTGCGGGGCACTGATCACTCCGACGCGGGGTGGGATCACCTGAAGGGGAAGGAAGCACAGCGTCTCAGACACCTGCGCACTGCACAGGTAAGGGACTGGGCGAAAACATTCGCTCCTGCATCTCACTTCATCTCCTCTCTGCTATTCGCCATCTCTGTTTGCTAACTGCTCTCTATTTAGAGCCATACCTAAGTTTTAAAATCTTTCTTTTTGTTTTTCAATGTTTACTATGTGCCACTGTGTTAAACACGGTAGAGACATGCCACCTTCAAAATTCCCCTCAGAGGTAGGTGTCATTTTGTCATCTCATTTTAAAGCAAGGGCAGACATGGGTACAACTTCTCAATGCCACAAAGCTAGAGAACAAAGCCAGGATCCCTCGTAGGTGTGAGAACTGCAGGGCCGCGTCCCTCACCACGGCCAAACCGCTGAGGTCGCGGGCAATGCAGCAACGCGGACACTGAGCAATGGAGGCTCGTGAAAAGCCACGCTGAGGTTTCACTTTTAGCACAGAAGCAGAAACTCTCCAGTGACCACCTCAGTCCGGTAAACGTAATCCTTACCTGAGGGCACTTTCCATGGGGGGGGAGAAACATCAATCGGTTGCCTCCCGCAGGCGCCCCCATCTGGGATTACACCCGAAACATGGTGTGCGTCCTGACCGGGAATTGAACCCGCCACCTACTTATGTTACGTATTTCTATACATTTGCTGATGGCTCTAAACCCCCAACACTTCTTACTCTAAGTGACCACACGAGCCCCCCCCACAGAGCCCTGGCTTTCCGGCTATTCTTACAGTGACAAGCGGAGTTTGAAAAAGCGCATGTGGGAAGCGTGGCCGAGCCAGTGGAGAGGGGTTCTCCTCTTCTGAAACTAGGAGTGGGGACGAGGGATCTCTGGGGACATCCCACCGACACTGGTGTGATGCTACATCTGAAAAAGGACCTTTAGGTCGGGGGTTAAATGGAGCTCCCGGGGGAAAGACAAAACATTTCCACCTTGGACATTTCATGAGAATGTCTCCTTAGAAATTAGCCGCAGCTCCATTAGACGTAGTTTGTTAACTTCTAGATGCTGTACCAGGTCCCAGGTCCCACCCTTCGGCTGAGGGCTCGCATTTCCTCCCTCTCCGTCTGTACATTACTTCCCACCCCGGGAGCAGGGCAATCCGTGATTACAGATGTCACACTGCGCCTGCTCTGCTCCCAGACTTAACACCGTGAGCGCCGCTTAGGTACAGACTCCACCATAAACCTTTTCCTGAAATCTACTAAAATTCTTCTTGTTGAAGGTGACTTTCTGTCCTCATTAGCTACTCAGAAAATATGATAAAAGCTGCCCAAACACGTCTGCCCTCACAGACACGGAGGCCCTGGTGGATCACACGCTTTCTCCGAGGTACCGCATTCGGGACCCAGAACCCAGACCCCTGCTCCAGGGCAGGTCTGCCTACCGGTCGGGCTGCGCTGTGTCCAGCAGGTCCTGGGCCTGCGAGTCCTGCTGGAGGCGAAGGCTGACTGCGTCCTGCAACAAACACATCACACCATGTATTCGAGGTTTTTTTAAAAAGAAACAAGTAGCCATGCACTTATATCCCACGTGTCTAGTCTCAGCCAGTTTTAAGGTAAGGAGCTCAACTCAAGCGTTTTTACCTATATTTTCTTTCCGTGTCGTCCCAGGGCTTTTGGGTGCTTTGAAGCAGGAAAGAAAACAGTCGTAAGTGAACAACACGGCAACACAGCAGAACATGAGGTGCTGCTCTGCCCCCTACCAGCAGGCACGGGGCACGAGACGGTGACAAAGGACGTGGCTTTGGACAACGGTGAAGGGTCTTATCAGCCCTGAAATGAGGACACTCTCATGACAGGCACGGGGACAGCTGAGCCAAGTCGATGCCTCACCCACAGGGGCGCTTCCCAGCTGACTTCCCAGCACAGCTCCCTCCTGTGACCTTGAGGGTCCCCTCAGGGGAAGGTCAGACTGGCTCCTGCCTCTCGAGCCACCCGAGAGCTGCGCCTGAGCAGACAGACCAGGTCACCCAGGGGCTCCTAGCGACAGGGCGCGGGGGCTGCAGCCGTAGGTGTCACGATGGAGAAAGTGATCCTACGATGAGCTCTGAGGGGTCTGTTAGGAGACAGGCTGTCTTACTGCTAGACACCTGCCTCAGGGAAGGAGTGTGAAATGCGGCTCACACATTGGAGTGGGGGCCAAGGGTGAAGTGGGGGAGTCGGGGGGGCTAGTGAAAGCAGCACCTCAGGTTTACGCTTTTTGAAAGGAAATTCAAGTGCGACTGTTATGTGAAATACATCAGCCTGCTAGTGACTCTCATCCTAACGAATGGCTTCCACTCTCAACTCTCTTTTAAGCAAATTTAGTTCGGCATCATTACGTATAAAATTACTTACGTTATCTGAAGTCATTCACAAGTAATTCCTGGACTTGAATTAACAGCGCTTATTTATTATTATTAAAGGTCCAGAGTTAGCACAGGACACTTCTAAATATGACTTATTCTGAAAAGGATTTTGAAGGTATTTTCCTTAAAATAACATTGTACAGTAATTTCACTGCTAAGCATACATGAAATAGACACAAAACAGCATAAAACAAGTAAGAGTCGCAGGGAAATCGAATGGCTGTCATCAGAAATTAGACGCGGCAGAGAGTAAGGGAGGACACACGGTGACAGGTGCACGTGAGGAGGGGCAGACGTGCGAGGTGGGACCACGGACACTCAGCGCGCCTCCGACACTGGGGGCTGATGGTCAGAGGACGACAGGTCCCTACACATCTGACCCGCAGGTCTGTTACCTTCCATCTCTCGCCTGGCCACCCCGGGACTGCGCGGGGCTCCGGCACCTTGTTAGAGAAAGAACAGAAGCCGGGTGTCGCTCAGGGCCCACGGCGCCGAGTGAACAGCGGGCACGCAGGACGATCTCTGTGGGAAGCCTGCCTGTGCGAAGGGCTCTCTACCGGTTTCTTCGGTCACATCCCCCCAGCCAGGCTGGGACGCCCAGGCCAGCCCGCGCCCCGGGAGAAGGGCAGGGGGATGGGCTCCTTCCGTCCAGACCCAGACGCCCGCAGCAGGGAGGGAAAGGGCGTTCGCGGAAAGCCTCTGCTATGATCCCCTCCTTCCCTAGGTTCAGAGTGAAATCCCTAGAAAGAGCTCCAGTGCTTGGCAGCCAAAAGGGAAAAAATCATAGTTTGGATTTCATTTTAAATTCCCACGAGACCAGACTATCCTAGTCCATCAGAAGGCGTCTTGCTGCATTATTTTTCAAAAACTCTAGAAGCACTACAATGACTCCTCTAAGTTCACTGCCTTACGGGAGCTACTAGTCCACAGGGGAAAACGCTGCAAATGCTGCCTACGAAAGACTTAGGAAGACAGGCGATTTTTAACAGTTAAATTGGATTTCTAAATAAGTCACTGAGTTAGTTTTTAAAATTCATTAAAAAATTTATTTTCTACTGGTTGTTTTCCTCATTAAAGGAAGAGATAAACAGAATTACCAGGAAAATATAAATAAAAGCAGGAGTTAAGAGGAACAACAGACGCAGTCCGAGAGTCAGTGAAAAAACTGCCCCGCGGAGGCGCGTCCAGAGCTGTGAGGCTGATCACTAATGACAGCTGATCCCACACACACACCTCCCATGAGCTCTCGTGAGTTTCCACGTAAATCAAACGGTACTTTACACAAAAAGTGATTCATTTGTTAGTAAAAATTTTCTTACGTTTAAAAACGGAGGCTGGGTTTGTGACAAGTTATGAGAAGACCCTGTGGGACCCCCGACAGCTGGTTCCGGCCACTGCTCTCCCTGTAAACTGCCCTCCGGGAAGCTGCTGGACGAGGGCACCGGCTCCAGCACCGCTGGCCAAACACTGGGGGGTTCTACAGTCCCTGCACCCACACCCCCTTTGAAATCAGTATGACTTTGGGAATTAAATCTCTGTAACCAAACTGACCATATTTATTAAGGAAAAGTGTATCAGGCCTGGACGGGTGCCCAGCCCTGTCTGCTGGGAACGGGGAGCTGCCGCAGGCTCTATCCACTAACGAAACCGAGCTCGAGGCTTTTCTTAACAGGAATAGAAGTTTGGAGCTATTAAAAATATAATTGTCATTCCCTGTGACTTTTATCAAACAAACCTAAAATGCCCTTCAGTTACAGAGATCAAACTCCAAAACACCATGAGCCGAGATGCACGTATGATAACAAACGATTACCTCCGAGTTCCTTTCTAGCAGGTGCAGGACTCCTAGCCCCTTGGGGTCCACAAGGAAAGATGCAGCAGAGAGGAAACAACATTAAGTAGAAGATTTACCACAGCAGCCTGACGTCAACATCATGCAGGAACAATTAGCATCTTGCTATTACAAAAAAGCTATTATTTAAATCAAGTACTTCTAATAGCTTAAGTAACAACACATACTTATTTAAAAAGAACATTTAAACAAGTATGTAAAACTTCACAGTAAACAAGCATACGTATGTTCTCTGGGTCTAGCCATACGCTTATCAGAAGTTAGCACAGTCAGCAGAAACAACGCAAACACTGCGCCCTTGCCAGGAGGCAGCTATGAACACGTCCCTGGGAACCTCGCGGGGACACCACCTGCCGCCTCGCCTCCCGTGTTCTGCAAAGAAGGCTGAGGAGGCAGCAGCGACAGAGAGTAAAACCCAGATCGGAGACATGCATCTGTGACGCAGCAAGGAGGGCTCTCTGCCCCGAAGTGGAAACAGCTGTTACCTGAAGGTGGCGGAGGTCTCTGCGGGGGCGCTGGCCGTGCGGGAGGAGCCGTTGGGCGGGGAGGAGGCGGCCGCCTGGGCTCCAGGACCTGCGGCTGTGGCTGCACTGCTGGCTGAGCGTCCACGGGAGAACCTGGAAAAGCGCCTGGAGTGAGGCCAGGCTCCGAGGGGGTGGGAGTGAGGGGGGATGGTGCTTCCTGCACAGCAACGACATTCTCACTCGCCATTTCTCTCTGCAGCAAAATGACCTGTGTCTTTAGTGTCACAGAAGCGGTGTGTCAGTGAATTACGCTTTGGTACCGGGAAGCAGTGATGCTCGCTGCATGTGGACTCACCTGGGCCCAGGTGCTGAAGGAGACTTACTGAGGGGACCTTCCGGACGGCACAGAGGCCTGTTTAGGGCATTTGCAGTCCGCTGACCAGCAAAGAGGAGGAAAAGGAGTCTGCTCTTCTCTACGCCTCAGCGGCTCCCAGCTCACCTAACGAAGCCGGGCCTCTAAGAGCACCACGGCAAATGCGGGACGTGTAAGCAATGGGAGATGCTGGCTGGGGTGAAACGGACCCGGTCATGTGGTAGAAACAGCTTCCAAGGACAGATCTTCCAACTGGGAGGAGCGATGACTCCAGTTTCAATCCTGCCTCATACGGGCACACAGGTCACGCAGAGCTCAGCCCAGCGGCACAGCTCTCACTACAACAGCAGATGAGCGTCAGCTACAGGACCGGGGCGAGCTGAGTGCACAGAACAAGGGTGAAGGCACAGCCTCGCCCAGTGAGCAGCGGTGAGTCTCGTTTCCACTTGGGGCACCACCTAGGAAGCCCCCGTTCTGTCTACAGAAAACCACAGCGCACTCTGCACACAGGGAGGAGCTAAACACAAGGGCTCTCCACAGGGGCTCCAGCGGCACCAGGGATACAACCACCCAAACCTAAGAGCGCCAGGGACGGTCACACAGAACTTGAAACACCTTACCCACCTTGTGAGGGTGGGTTCCCAGGAGTCTTGGACGGGGCTCGACTTGGTCTTATGGGGAGGGAGGGCACAGGGCCCTCGGGTATTGTGGGTGACTGGCAGGGGCTGGTCCGCGGTGAGGAGCTCGGGGACGTGCCGAGGCCGGACCCCAAAGCCGGCTGCAGATGCTGGGGCAGGATCTCCTCCACCTCAGCGCTATAGTCATCAACGTCACCTATGGAAACAGGGTTATCCGTTACCACCTGCTTTACTTTCTCAGACATCTTCCTCACCAATCTGGTTTTAAGGGGTGAAATACACAAAGTAAACATGCTAACACTATGACACTGACAACGTGCATGGATTAAGCATGCAGGTACATATAAAATTTATATGTAAACTAGAATCAGGACAACTGTGCTACAGAAAACTTGATTAAAGATGCTCTTGGGCCCCGCCGGCATGGCTCAGTGGTTGAACTTTGACCTAGGATCCAGGAGATCGCAGCTCGATTCCCAGTCAGGGCACAGGCCCGGGTTGCGGGCTCCTCGATCCCCAGCAGGGGGCGTGCAGGAGGCAGCCGATCAATGACTCTCATCACTGATGTTTCTCTCTCTCTCCCTCTCCCTTCCTCTCTCTGAGATCAATAAAGACATATTTTTTAAAAAAAAAAGATGCTCTTGGATCTCAGAGCAACAGGAGGGGTGGGGACAAGCCTTGGAGCTGGGCTGACTCAGGGCTTTCGCATTCTACCGGGCAGCTGGCGCCACCTACTGCTGTCCCCCCACCCCTCCTATGCTCCCTGGCACTTCCCCTCACCCAGGTGGGGCCCGGTGGTAAACAGGCTGGCAGAGGGCCACACACCCTCTTCCTGGAGGCCTCCTGACCACCTCCCCTGAGCTCCCCCACCCCCAACCCAACACAGACTCTCTCTGCTTTAACTGGAAGCTGGTTCCCCAGGCCCCCTCATCTCCTGACCTCAGGGCTAGAAAGTGGGGCCAGGGAGCCCCCTTGCAACCTAGTTTGATTCCAGAACAGGACTCCCCACTTCTCCGAGGCTGTGCCATCAGGATGCACTTCACACCTCCCCTCCCCGCCTTCACCTCCAGCCTCCACCCTCCTCCGTCAAGGACCAACCACAGGGCACTGCGGTGAGTGACATCCTTCTGGGCGGATCAGAGTCCACGTGGACAACAGGGCAACAATCTAAAGACCTGGTCTTATCCTCACCTATGCTCCCACCGCTCCAGACACCTCCTTCCGACCGCCTCCCACTTCCCCGTCTCCCCAGTTTTCCTCCTTGTTTGACGTCACCAGGACTCAGGCCGGATTCCTGCACATTTGGCCCCCAGTCCGAGTCTGCTTCTCGGCACCTGCCCTCAGTCCCCGGTTCTGCACCTCTGCCCACCACCCCTGCTGCACTGGTCCTCCGTCACCTGCACAAGGGCCACCGTCTGCTCTCACAGCTGCACACGGGCTGCTGAGAGCCTGCTGGAGAAACCACACGCCCCTCAGGACGGCGGCCACATCCAATATGCGGGGTCCAGCCTGGCAGCTCCGCAATTTTCTGGCTGGCTCTCCCCAGACTCCTGCTCAGGAGCTTTATCCCAAACCTTTTCAACTCTGGAACGGTGGGGGGCCCCATTCCTGGAGGTCACCTGACTCTCACACGTCACAGGGAACACAGGAGTCTTGAGATGGGGACCCCTTTCAACAACGGCCCTAAGTGGAGTCTGACAGCTGTGCTTGTGGGTGGAGCAACGGGCTCTGCCGCCCGTCTGGGGGACCTGCCCTGTCACTCCGGCTGCCCTTTCCCAGTGGCCTCCGCCTCTATAGCCCTTCCCATCAGCACCCAGCAGTCTCTCGTGCCTCCCATTTAAACAGCACCCCCAGACCCCCATTTCCCAGGGGCAGCTGCCCTCTTCTCTCCCCCTTCTAAGCCAAACTCCTTTAAAGGGTTGCCTACAGACACTGCACATCCACCCCTCCGTCCGCACCTCAGTTCAGCCCCATCTGGCTCCTCACTCTACTGAGTGGCTCCTGTGAAGCCACCAGCAGCCTCCTTCTGTGCTACCGAATTCAGAGGGCAAGCTGCAGCCTCCTCTCTCCTCATCTGAGACACGGGACACAGACTCTCCATCTCTGTTACCCTTTCTTTCCTTCATTTTTAAGCCACTACATTCTCTTAGCTCTGACATTTCTAGTGGTTCCTTCTCGGTTTCCTTTCACGGGCAGCCCTCTTTGGCCTTTGCTTGAAGTCTGTTTCTCTGTTTCAATCAGGGCCTGTTCTCTCCATCTCTATAAAGCCCTGCGGCCCAGGCGATGAACACCTGTGGTCTAACTGCCCTCAGAGCTGCCTGTGAGCCCACATCAGACCCCACAGACCCCCCAAATTCAACATGTTCAAGCTACATTCTCCTCCACCCGCCGGCCCCGCCCGCCTCCTCCCCATGCTCCTCGACAGCGCACCTGCACGTCCGCCTGAGACCTGCCCCAGGCCCCGCTCAGTCCTTCCTCCTGGGCCACCTCCCCCACCCTCTTTCACCTCCCGTTCTGTCTTCAGATTCTCAGTTTAAATTTCTACTCCTCTGGGATCCCTTCCCAGCTTCCCAGACCTAAGGGAGGGACCCTCCTGGAACCCGCAGTAGGCCTACTCCTGACGGATGTCACCTGACTGTAAATGCCTGCTCCCTGTGACACCCACTGGGCTGTGAGTCCTCAGAGGGCAAGGATGACATCTGCTGACCTTCCAGCACCCAGCATGCACCTGGCACATGAAGGGCGCTGTGTGGACTGAGCAAACCAAGGGAGAGAGAAATGTTAAAGCTGGAGGTAACCTTGTAAAGTGTTTAGCTCTTAAACTCGTTACCTGGATGCACAGGGTACTACAATATGAGGTAATGTCATTTTATAAACAAAAGCATTTGAATGGAAAATATGCTAGAACAATATGCATACAGCACCAGAAAATCAGTCATTTCTTAATCATGTCTAAGGAAGATATTATACCCAGATAACCTGTCCCATATCCTAAACCTGAAGTGGCTACATCTATACGGGTTGGCTCCGTTTTAGAATCGTTTTTGATGATTCTGAAATGTATCCCCTTTTGTAGCGGTTGCCCTGAGCTCCTGTCCACTGTTAGGACACCCACTCTGAACTTCTGCTTTTCTACCTTTACTGCAAACAGTGGGACCAAACCACCCACCAACTTGTGCCCTGGCTGGTTTGACTCAGAGGTTAGCACGTCAGCCTGCAGACTGAAGAGTCCCGGGTTCGATTCCTGCCAAGGGCACATACCTCAGTTGCAGGATTGATCCCTGCCCTGTCAGGGAGTGTGCAGGAGGCAACCAATCGATGTGTCTCCCTCTCGCTCTCCCTTCCACTCTGAAAAGAAAATATCCTCAGGTGAGGATTTTAAAAAAAATTTAAAAAAACACACACCAAACTTGTGCTCCTATTACACAAGGACCTAAACTAACACCTGTAAGGATCTTCACCTTTGAATGACAGCGGCCAATGCATTTACAATCAAAATAAACACAGTACAATGCACAACAAAACCTGGTACTGCTGTGCGTGTCACCAGAAGAGACAAGGATGGGTGTGGAGGCTGAGGGGAGGGACACGCATCTAGAAGCACGTTCAATCAACAAACCTTCCAGGTCAAAATCCGCGGCCACCTCCGCATCTTCACCCAGGAGGGTGGAGCTTGTGGACGAGGGCAACGGCACGTTAATTTTCTCTAAACTCATTTCTTCTTCCAAAGTTTTGATCCAGTCGGGACTTTTTAAAGTAATACTTATAATCCGGCCCAATAACTAGTTGAGTAAAAGATAAAAGATGACAATTCATTGGCATGAAAATGAACTATTCCGGAATAAAGTGACTCCCTTGCCTACTCAGGCTTAATTTAGACCAATTCAACGTACCTGCTTCACAGACGCTGAATTTAACTAGTTTAAACGCCCCCTCTCCTTCAGAAGCCTGTTGCTAAATCTACGGTCGTCTCTTCCAGGACGCTGAGTCAGCTTTCTCTGCGGCAGCCAGCATCTCCCCTCAAGCAGATTAAGTTCACTGACAACTCAGCTACATAATTTTACACTTCCTTTGATTCTGACCCACAGATTAAGTGGCTGTTCCTGTATGAGGCAGCCACAGAGGAGGCAGTAGCAAATCTTTAAAACGGTTCTCCTGTTTTTGGACTGCCAAGCTTGGACTAATGGTCTTGGAAACTGCCACACTGCAAAAGCAGTTTCAGCGTCTCAAAGGCCAGAAGAATGCTGAGAGAATTTAAGACCATTTTAAATCCTCACAGGAGTGACTCAGAGGCTGGAAACATAACAACTGTCACTTGTGAAAGGGCACTTATTGCTCCGCGATTTTGAGTGCTTGCAGACGGAAGTAGAACCTAAAACACCAACATGTTATATCCAATTACACCATCCTACTGATGTGTTAAAATATTGTCAAAAACTTGTAGGCAGCCACCAGGTCCTTGGTTAAAAATGACTGGACACTAGAAGAATGTTCTCACTTACCACCTACACTCACAAAATGAATTTTCTTTCTGAAACGGAAGCTCTCTCCTACACAGTTCAACTTCCTGCATTTGACAAGTTTCTGGAGTGTAACCATCATGAGCTTCCAAATGAACCGTGTGGCTGTGACCAGCACGCTGTGAGGACAGCTGCCACCCCTGCGCCTCGGTCTTCCTCAGCTCAAAGTACAATTGAGACTAGACTCCCTGGGAGGCACAGTGTACACAGGGCTCTCTAGAATGTTTAATAATGAAAAGTTGCAAACAATCTAGATGTCTATTAGTAGGAGTTTGGTTAAATAAATTTATATATGTATCTATATAACAACGCTAAAGCAGCCATTAAAAACGACATATTTGTTCATATAGAAAGATGTTTATGAGTCTCAAGAGGCAGTGAGAAAACAGCATGTATAACATGGCCCCATGCGTGCTTGTGCATGTATGTATGTGTACACACATATATCTCATTTATATTTATGTATATGTGTATATGTAATATACATAGTGTGTGATATGAAGGTTGAGGGCCATTATTCCATAACGGTAGGGTCTCAAGTCTCATTATTTCTTTCTTTACATTTTTCTGGATTTCTTGACTTGCTTTTGCATGAGTGTATTACAATCATATTAAGACACTACAAAAATCTATTTCAAAAGCAATATGTGCATGGAAATTTTCTCCAAGGAAGTGGAAGTAATATAGCCGAAAGGAAGCTCAGAGAAATCCTTTGGAGTTGCCGCCGTTGGAGAAATCAGGCTTGGACTTTAGTCCATCCTATCTAGTGGCCATTTACTTAGACATTTAGGATTTGTCCAAAAGCACTCAGAAGAAATGGAGACACAGCACTCTATAGAAGCAAAAGTCTCCCAGACCACTGGCAGATTTCCCCCACAATGACATTTCAGACCACAGAGTAGGACTATCTCCACTAAGTAAAAGTTTCTAAAGCGCCTCAATGAGATGGATTTATTATTTTTAATTTTCCAATTACACCTGACATTCAGTAGTATATTAGTTTCAGGTGTACCACATAGTGATTAGACATTTATATGCCTTGCGAAGCGATCACCCCGCTGAGTCCAGTCCCCACCTGACACCACACACAGTTATTACAATATTACCAACTACACTCTCTGCGGGAATTATTTTACTTATGCTTGAGAATAATGACTACCTCCCTCCCTCATTTTCTTGTAAGTAAAGCATTTTCTTCATTTGACAGAAATATTTTCTACTATACAGATGAGCCAAAATATCTATTCAAATAATTTTTAAAAATTTTATACAAAAATCATTAAAATAAAATTAGGTGGTAAACATGCTTTCTTCTTCATCTCTATCAATGGTTAATTTCTCCAGGGAACAACCAAAATAATCCTGAACCAGTCAGAAGCCTCGTCTAAATAGTAACATACAGTTCTCCATAAGGTCTTTCATCCTCTGGAACTGGAAACACATTTAGATAACTTTGCTCCATGTATAACCCTCAGACACTTAATCACAGAGAATTCAGAATCAACAAGGGCCACCTCACCTCTTTACCATCCAGGCTTAGAACACTCAAGGCAGAACTGCCCTCCAAAAATGTAACCCACATCTTATCTTCTACAAACCTTCAAGAGAGAGAAACAAACAATAAAAATAATTAATACCTTAGACATAACTAGCCCAGTGACTAGTCTGGTGATTCCTGATTAGCAGGGGCCTGTGGAGGCTGGGAAATAAAAAAACTAGAGCGAGCGCAGCAGGGCCAGGTGGCCTGCAGGGGGCGCTCTCCCAAGAGCACCCCAATTGCAGTCTTTCAGTACCAGGCCACAGAACAGCCGGCCAGAAGGCCGGGGCCTGCGGACCACCACCGGGACGTCCCCCCTGCGCATCCCACCCTCCACTTCATCGACGGAAAAGGGGCCGGAGGTTAAGTGGCTCGTTCAAAGTGACCTTACAAGGCAAGAAAGTCACAGGACTAGCGCCCGAGTCTCCTGAACCCACAGGCCAGCACGAGTATTTCTGCTGCCTCATGACCACCCTGAAGCAAACCCCTCTGACCGAGAAAGAAGATCGGGGTGTTCATTAAACCCCCTGCCTGTCCGTCCCCTCAGACCTCCCCCAGGGACCGCACATGAACGGTCCTTGTCACTTACTGTCTGGAGACTTCAATGGCCTTTGCTATGATTCTAGTTTATAACTTTGAAATAAGAAACCCCACGAGTAAAAAATAAAGAGGACGTTAGGGTAAGTTCTGAAGAAGACGGCCACTGACGTAACAACGTTATCACGCAAACAAGAATGAAACAAATTACAACGTCACCCGCCTTAGTTACAGAGACAGATGAGCTGAACTGCTCCCACCTGCACAGATCACGCTCGGAAACCCCTGCAGATTCTCCAAAGATGAGAGGAAACACACACAGGTACAGACACTCCGCCTAGGACGCGAGGGCGTGCGTTCCAGGCATTACGCGGGAAAGGCTAAAAGCGAAGGCGCGCAGACAGCAGCTGCTACGTCCAGTTGGAATCCACGGCCCGGAGGAGATCTCGGCCACCGCTCGAACACGGGCAGTCCTCTGGCACCAGGGCCCGACGCTGCAGGGTCGAGACCCCTTTTCCCTAACATCAGGGAGGCCTTTCAAACTGGCGCGCTCCTCCCCCGCTACGCAGGGCTGCCCTCCCGCCCCGGTGCCGCCCAGCCGTGAGGTGCTCCCTGCCGGTGGCCCCCAAGCACCCGTGGCCCCGTGGGGGCGAAGTCGCGGCCTGTCCTTCACTTCTAACTTTTACAGAGATTCTGGTTCTAATATCCCTGGATGTATGTAGGTCCTTTTAGAAGCTGTATTTTCTTCCCCTTTCCACTCACTAGAGTAAAAGCTTCTAGAGTTTCCCCCCAATTGAGATAAATATCTACGTGCATCCAAATGTGTGCCACCCTCACGTCCAGGGCGCCCCGTCACACGTAAGGGAGCTGTGACCCCAGCACTGCCCGTGGCTGTCTTGCTCTAGACCAGAAGGTCTTCCTGGTGACAGGAGTCCTTTCCTGTTACCTCCAGTGTCTTTTTCCTCTTGCAACTGGGTTGTTTAAAGGTGTAACACGCAGCACATTCCAGGCGGGAGGCACCCATGCTTTACGTCAGGACAACGCCTTGCTTTGTCACCAGTACTTTTCCTGATGACCATGAGCACTCTGGGGAAAGCTTTGGCTCCAATACGTTCCTTAGAGACTGGCTGAGACGCACAGGCCCTTCACGTGGGTCGGTCATTCAGGGACACTTTGGAGTCTTCCAACCAGTGCAGACTTCACACATGCTCACAGGACACTGCTCTCTGCCCCCCACAGCCCACAGGACGCTCCGGTGCTTTGGCATTCCTGCCTTGGCCAAGCCTACCGTCAGCTGTAAACTCCAAGATCTCACTGTGTACCTCCTCAAGCCTGAAGATTTTCAGAAACATTTTTGTTTTATTTTAAAGCTTTAGGGTAGATCTTTGTCAAAAGATTTGAGGGAAGTCTAAACACGATGTTTTCTACTTGCTCGTTTGCTCCCTGAAGGTCTCCAGGCTTCTTAAGCCTGCTTCTCAGACCACCTCACTCTGTGAGCCGGTGCGTTCAGGATCCAGGGGAGCCCCTGCACACGCGGATCTTCCCACCAGGTTACAAACAGGCGCCGAGTCTCCCTGTCTCCTGTGCCTCCCACAGAACCTAACAGAGGCGTGGCCACCCAACACCTATGAAACGCGTCAACAAGCAGACGGACGGCGCAGTTTAGCAGCACCTGTCCCTGGGCTCTCACAACGGCTGCACGCCCAGGAGAGAGCGTTTTCTAAACAAGAAGGAGGCCGTGGTTCTGCAAAGGGCAGGCGGCTGAGTCAGCAGTGGAACCAGGACTAAAATTCAATGAGTTAAAATTACTTAAAACATAAAAGTTCTTAAACTGAGGAGGGGGGAAAAAAATCCACTTTACTCTGACTCTCCTTGAAAAAATAAAACAGCAATTACATCTTCATGCATCACAGGGCTCGTGTTATATCGCATGGGGATCGTGAGCGACCACATCCAAATGCGCACGTGTTTGGTCATCAACTGTCCATATAAGTTCACTACTTGACTTTAAATTTCCTAAGGAGAAATTTCAGTTTTAAAACCTATGAGCTCTTTGAATAACATCTCTATAGCATAATTTTCCTACAGTCTGGGGATAAAAATACTCATATACTATTCAAACACTAAACGACGTAATTTCTAACAGAGAAAACATGATTCATGAATCACGAGCTGCTTCTGAACGACACACGTTTACTCACCTTATGAGAATTACTTCACCAAAACCTGCAAACTGCTGCAGCAGAGCATCGATCAGAGTGTCATCGAAGAAGTTTCCCTGCTCAGAGCTCCTGAGTGAGACCAGCACCGTGCCGTCCGGGGGGCCCTGCTCGGCAATGACTTCCTTATAGACGCTCTGCCTCTCCTCGGCCTCCACTTCGAATATATCTATGTCTATCAGGGCAACGACGGGCCTGGAGGCGTGAGGAAGACAGCGGGTTAGAAACGCCCCGGGAGAGATGTGGCTCAGGATGAGTTTCAAGCCCCCTGGAAACACCGAGGCTGTAAACCTGTGGTCAGAGGTCTTCAGCTCCGCTCGCCCGTAGTGCAGCAGGGTGCCGGGAGTCCACGTGTAGAGGATTTTGCTTCCGTCTTGGAAACTAGCATTTAGAAGATCTAAGTCTTCAGCTGCAGCGGAAATAAAACAACACGAGAGAAGCACATGAGCACGACAGGCCCCAGGAGCACGGGAGAGCCTCTGCTCCAGGGGCTGCCGCCGGCTGAGGCTGGGGCGCCGGACACACTTGCCCACGGGCAGGAGGTCGGGACACCTTCAGGTTAGAAAGGTTTTCTGGTGAAGTGACCATGTTATGTTCACTTAGCAAAAATTAAGACGTGGCTTTACCCCTGAGCCTACTCAAAGCCTGTGGCCACACAGGATTTCATGAGTGATCCATCAGAGGAGCGCAGCTCCTGATCTGCAGGCCACCCGCTTCGTGTAAAACCTCAACTAGCAGCCAACTGAAATGTCAGGTTTTCTTCTCTTTATATGAAAAAGAGTCACTTAAATAGACGGAAAAATTAAATGCGTTATTAAAAGCAGGTCTGGGAATATTTTTAAAATCTGTTTTATATTTAAATTTCATTTCTTCTACCCTATGTAACCGTTGTTAAAAAAAAAAAAAAAAAAAGGGAAAAAGGGGGAAAAAAGGGACAAATCCATCCTTTCAGACCTTATTTCAGTTTCAGAGAAATTAAAAACCACTAATGACTTATGGCTACCAAAACATGGAGCCGCAATTAAGGAAGGAGGAACTAGGAAAAAGAGGGAAAGAGGTTT